CATGGGTGTGCATATATCTGCTTGGATGGGCTGATGTTATTTAACTGTGGTATCTGAAATTGAAATGTATTAGAAGTGTACAAAGCAAAGACTAACCATATTGACACAGCTAATACTTCTAGTGCCGTATTTTTCACATATAACACACCTGAGTAGATAATGTATGTACATATTTAACTCATTGGTTATTTACATAAAATATGCTAACCTGCTGGTATAATTGATCATAAAACTGTTATGTATACCCTATTTGAGGCAAAATATGATAGAATATTATATATTAGACTAGTTATGAACAATATTAAAATATTACATATCCAGGGGGGAAAGACAATTAAGATTTTTCCTCTTTTTAATAATATCCTTAGCAACTGGTTTCTGTGTACAAAAGGCTCTGTTGTTGTTCTTTAAGTAATACTTAAAAGGATACAGGATACACAGACTGTGTTTTGGATGAAAATACTGAAATTATCACTTCAGTATTTTTAGAGTGTGTAAATTGCTAATTGGCAATAACAAAAGTTGTTCATAAGAATAATACATGTGCACAGAGAATTCTTTAATAGATCTTAGTTATTAAACACTGGAATCTTTTGGTTTTGTTTTTATTGAAGCTTTCCTATCTTGGTTACACCAGAAATGCCATTGTTGGGTTTTGTGGTGGGGTGTTTTGTTTTTCTTCTTAAATGAATGTTTTACTTTCAGGGTCTTCCTGGAGAAACTGGAGAAAAAGGAGATTCTGTGTACATTTTGGGTGGCATTAAAGGCATTCAGGTAAGGTTTTTAGAAAGTATTTCCACATAAATTAACCCAGGTAGAAATGTGATAATGGTTATCCATGGCGGGCAGTGTTTGGTGGAGCTCCCTTGTTAAAACAAGCTTGGAAGCAGGAGTGGCATCCACTTCCATAATAGCTTGCTTCTGGAAACCCTATGAACCTGGAGAAAGGATAAAAGTCACGCACGCAACTGTCGAGGACTTTTGTTCATCTCAGATAGGAAGCATGTAGATGGGAGTATCTCTGAATTGTCCCTGAGTATCGTTATCCATAGGACACAGCCCACTGTCTTCAGTTGCTTACACTGTAAAATTCCAGCACACTCCCAGCTATTCTTGCAGAGCTGAAGGGGGTACATTTATTTTTTTGCCTCCCTACCTCGACACTTTAGACATTTTGGGTCAGATTATTCTCGGTGGTGGGGACTGTCCTGTGCATTGTAGGACGTTAAGCAGCATCCCTGGTTTCTACCCACTGGACTCAGTAGCACCTTCCCATTGTGACAGGCAAGGTGCCTGCAGACATTGTCACATAGCTTCTGGCAGAGAAAACAGTGCAACAATGAATGAATGAAAACCCAAAACCTCTGTAAATGTTCATTAAAACTAATAAAATTTAATGATAATTAAAAAAAATCACATCTAACTGAGAACCATTGAATTATTTTGTGGTTAAAGTTGGATATTATTGTCAAGACAGGAGTCCAGAATGAAGGCTGCACAGAGGAGTGGACTTGGGGGGAGGGATTGCATAACAAAGAAAGAGTTTTTCTTTTTCTTTTCAAGGAGAAGAGTGAATTGAGGGGGACAGGGAGAAAAGTGCAACATTGAATGACCGAAACCCTAAGTCTCTGTAAACTTTCATTAAAATGAATTTTAAAAAGTGGAAAAAAGTTTATAATTTCATTCTCGTGATCTGGTAGGGTGCATAGCACTAACGCCGAACCTGAAAATTATGGACATTTTTCTAGCTCTGTCATGGATAACATAAGCACTTTTATGGTTTTTTTATCAAAGTCTAGTAGAAACAAGCTTGATACGGTTTTAACTGGTGACTGTAAAATATTCTTGGAGACAAATCAATGATTTGTTTTGAAAATGCACTGTCTGTAACGTCTAATGATTACGTACCATCATAATTTCTTCTGATCGCCTTCTTATTCAGTTTTCATGTTAGAAAAATGAGCTGGTATCTTTAGACTTCATTTCTGACTGCTTATGATTATTCTTTGCTTAAAATACACATACACACACATTCGATTTCTCAAGGACAATAATATGAAGATTTTCATAATTTTCAGATTCCACATCATTGACTTTTATGACATAGGGTGGCAAGTATAAACATTACAAGAGTTCGACTACAAATAATTAAATGAAGAATTTCTTATCTAACCAAATGATCAGCAGATCAATAATTCCTGGGTAACATTGCATGTATTCATGAGAATGTACATTTTTTATTCTTTAAAGTAGATTGAGTGTCATTGCCTACTCAAAGGGATTGTCACAGCCCTCCCCCTTAGGTCTGTTCCAGGCTGGTTAAAAGGGGTAAAATCTGGACAAAAAAGGAGGTCTGAATTAGACCAGAGACAGACTGAGGAAATGGGGCTAGTGGGCTGAGCAGTTAGAGTATTTTTACAAAGGAAATGTATCCCATCCCATCCTTGGTTCCATGTTATCCTAATAATAGTCCTCTTTCTCTGAATGTGAGGGAATAGAAGTAGACTTCTCTGAATGTGATAGAATAGAATATGTAGAATTCAGGGCTTAAGATTGGACAGAGTGAATGACCACATGTGTCTTTTAAACACTAAACACTGAGTAAGCATCATTAGGCCAATAAGATGGATTCCATGTGCATTTTCATTTTTCACAATTTTCAGTTTTGGAACATCGTATTAAATGCTGTGCGTTATTATTGCAGGGGGACAGAGGGATCCCAGGACCTCCTGGCTTCCCGGTAAGTTTCCCGAGCAGATCCCCTGCTCTTATTACTTCTGCAAATGGCCCAAGTTTTTAAAGCCCCTCGAGATCAGCTGCCTAATCTGTGCAGCTCAGAGCAGAATGGAAATGTGAGTCCCTTGCCCAAAATGTGTTTAGAATGTCAAGATGGTGACAAGAGAGCATGAAGCCATTGGCAGAGGCCCTTCCAAGAGGGGACCTTAGGTGACCACACAGTTCTCATGCATCTGACGCTGCCTTAGAATCACTTAGGTCTAATTATTTGTTTGCCTTAGGGAGCTCTGGTGGCTTAGTGGTCAGGAGTTGGGCTGCCAACCCAAAGGTTTATGGTTCAACTACCCCAGTTGCTCTGTGGGATAAAGATGGTCAGTCTCACTTCCATGTGATTTACAGCCTCTTAAAACTCACCAGCGGGTCAGCTATGAGTCTCTTCCAACTTCACTGTACTTAACAACAGCTTTTGTTTGCCTTGGGGGGGGAAAGCCCACTGATGTGCTTTTGTAACATAAGTCACTGAACTGGAGTGTAGTTGTACTCTGACACACAAGGGCACCATCTGGTACCGACTGGTTTGGGTCTTTATTCTCCCAGAATTACATGAAACTGTTGTTATGGAATGGAATATGGTTATGAATGTTTTTAACCAATGCACTGATTTCTTTCTGGTTTAGGGACCTCGGGGGCCTAGTGGTCCAGCAGGCCCCAGGGGCTATCCAGGAGGGCCGGGATTAACAGTACGTGCAACTGTCTTCCAGTACTCAGGTTTGATTTTTAAATAAAGTGAAAATGCGGTGTTTTAGGCTTGAGGCTGGCGCAGGACATTATTTGAGGGAATAACTTGATGAATCAGTGCAAACCCACTTTTTTTCCCTGAAAGTCCAACACAATGCAGGTCCCTGGGGGTAACCATCAGTGTCACCTTTGTCAGTAACCAGCAGCCCACCCCTGATGGAAGGTGCACAGCGTGTGCTTTAGCATGAAAGGTTTCCTGAATTGGAACTTGGGGTAGCCAGTGAAGAAACATTCCTGTTTGTATGACTGACCCTTGATTTGTGTGTGTTTATCGTTGATTTAGGGACCTCCTGGCCATAGTGGGCTTCCAGGACTGAAGGTAGGTAACGAGTAAGATGCCTAATTGAGCCCAGCTGGAATGGAATTGATCCTGATACTGTTGGAGTTTTCACAGTTTCTGTTGTTGTTAAGTGAGTTAGAACCAACTCGTAGCTGAAGCTCCCTCAGCTTTCCAGAGGCTGCAAACAGCACAGGAAGAGAGTGTGCACATTTTTCCCTCCAAATAGCATCTGGTGGATTCAAACCACTGGCCTTTGCTTTGACGGGACCACTCCTCATCCGCTAGGCAACTGGAGTTCCCTATCCCTCTTACTAGAATTTAAGTACTTAAGACTTTGTCCATATTCATCTTCTGTATTTTCAAGATTAAAATGGAAAACAATTTTGCTTCTGAACAATTAATTGGCTTGTAATTTCTCTTTGTAACTTCTGGCTCCTGACAGAATTCCTTCTCTAGGTTGGTTTTGCTGTCGTACTGAAGTTCACAATAAATCTTTCTATTTTAAGTAATACATGTGATGTTGCAATGTTGCATTACACCAAATGCAGGCAGACCTCAGAGATAGTTCAGCTTTTCTTCCAAATCACTGCAGTAAGACGAGAACTATAATAAAGCAAGTCACTTACATTTCACTCTGGCATATAGAAAAGTGACCCCACTGCTTCACGGACCAACAATAACATAGTCCATGAAGGGAGCTCTCGTAGTGCACAGAATACCACAGAGCACAGTGCACAGAAGGTCGGCAGATTGAATCCACCAGCTGCTTCATGGGCGGCCTCCTCTCATTAAGACTTACGGCCTCAGAAACCCAGTGGAGGGCCACTCTGCGTCCACACCAACTGGCTGGCAGTGGATAATAGCCCCTGAATTACAATACTATGAGGAAAATTGGGAAAATTTTGAAAATGACAAAAATGACCCATACTGGGGGAAAGAGGACTTTCTCAGTGCAAAGTTGCCAAAAGCTTCCATTTTTTTCCAAATTTTGGAAAACACAGAATCTTTGAATCACAATAAAGCAAAGTACAAGCGAATGTGGTAAGCTCCTCTTTCAGTTCTGTGTAATGTACGAGTTATCGCAATGCCTTTGTTAAAGTAAATATTAAAAAATGAATTGTTAGATCATTTTCCATTCATTTCTCAATCAGAGTTTTAATTGTTTTGGGGGGGTTTATTTTACAGTCTAAAAGCAGTTCTTCTGTTTCCCTTTTTCAGGGTAACCCTGCTGTGGGAGTGAAGGGGCAGAAGGGTTCCCCGGTAAGAATCCAGCTTTGCAGGGAGAAGCAGAGGCTGGAGACTACCTGCTGCAGACGGGGTTCCATTCTTGGTCATTGCAGCTGATCCCCTAGCACTGGTCTGCTTTTACGGCTCTCTCATGTACTGTGGGCATGTGGTCAGGAAGGACCGGTGTTTGGAGAAGGACATCATGCTTGGAAGGGTGGAGGGACGGCGCAGGAGAGGAAGACCCTGCGTGAGAAGAATTGATGCAGTGACTGGGTAATTGAGGATAGGTGTGTCAGAGGCTCAGGACAGAACAGAGATCAGAGCTATTATGTGTAAGGTTGCTATGAGTTGGGGTCAAATCTATGGCGCATCACAACAACAACAACAACAACAACAACAAATCATGTGAGAGGAGATTGCCCATCCTTCTCTTGTGGAACAGCTGTGGATTTGAACCCAGTGTCTTTGGGATTACAGTGCAGCATCTTAATACTAGACCACAAGAGCTCCTTAGTGGTAAATGAACAGAATGGCTGTTCCTTGGAGGCAAGGATTCTGAAGCTTCGTCTGACATACTTTGGACATGTTGCAAGGCAGGATCAGTCCTTAGAGAGGGACGTCATGCTTGGGAGGGTGGAGGGTCGCACAGGAGAGGAAGACCCTCGATAAGATGGATTGATCCCATCACTGGGGTTGTGGGGATGGGTGTGTGAGAGACAGTAAGATTAGCAAGGGATAGATAGAACAGGGTTTAAGGTTGTTGTCCATAGGGACACTATGAGTCGTGGACGACTCGACGGCACATAACATCAACAAAAGCTAACCAGAGCATGATGGTTGAATAAATGAAAGTACATTCTCTCCTAAGTTATAGGCATTAAAAACTTGATTTTTTATGTTTTTAATCTGATGGAAACATATTAACAAAGTAGTATTAAGTACTGATGAGAAGACTCACTCATAACCTGTGTTATACAGATAAAACAGCCTTGCTTGCTGAAAGTGAAGACTTGAAGCACTTGTTGCAGAATATCAAAAAATACAGGTTTCAATGTGGATTGTATCTTAATGTCAAATAAACAAAGATCTTCACCATTGGACTGATAGGCAAGATCATGATATATGGAGAAAAGATAAACACTATCGACAACTTAATTTTATTTGGATCCACAATGAACACCCTTTATAGCAGCAGTCAGGAAATGAGGAGACACATTGCACTGGGAAAATCTGCAGTCAGGGACCTCTCCAAATTATTGAAAAGTAATGATGTCATTTTGAGGACTAAGGTGCATCTCATTCATGCCATGGTCTTTCCGATGATTACTTGCTTTGCATCTGAGAGTTGGACAGTGCGTAAGGATGATAGAAGAAGATTTGATGCCTCTGAGCTGTGGTGTTGGAGAAGAGCGCTGAACATCCCACAGATGGCCAAAAGAACAAGTATGTCTTGGAAAGGCTACAGCCAGAGTGCTTTCTGGAGGCAAAGTTGGTAAAGCTTCACCTCAGATACTATGGGCATGTCGCTAGAAGGGGCTGTTCTTTGGAGATGGAAAAGATGCTCAGAAGGAGAGAAAGATCCTCAACTGGGTGAACTGACTCGGTGATTGCCGCGATGGGCTCTAGTGTGTCAGGAAATGTGAGGATGGCAAGGGTAGGAGGGGTGCACATCTGTTGTTTACAGAGTTGCTATGGGTCATATGCAACTCACTGGCACCTAACAACAACAATAACAGTATTAAGTTACAAAAAGAAAACATAAACTTTCACAAAACAAATTTATAAACCACAAATTCTATAGCCACTGTAGATTCTGGCTCATGGCAACCCTCCACTGGTTTTCTGGGCTGCAAATCTCAGTGGCAAGAGATGGCCCATCTTTCTCTCATGGAGCGGCAGGAGATTTGAACCACCACCCTTTTGATTAGAAGTACAAGGTGCAGCGCACCGTATCACCAGCACTCCTTACAAGTTATCTCATATAATTTACATTATTTTATTGAAGCAACTAAATGTTTTAGGTAGCATCATTCTAATTACAGTATAATAGTTAATATGGGAAGCAGGAGTGGCATCTACTTCCTAAACCACATGGCTCTGGAAACTCTATGAACTTGGAGAATCAGAGATAGTTGTGGAAAGGCATTAGGTCTTTTGTTCACAGAGTTGCTGTGAGTCGACCTTGACTTGACGGCACTCAACAACAAGAAGTAGTTAACAGATTAGAGATGATGTATGATTGAGTATTATGGTTAACACAGGAATCCAGAATTAAGGTTGCATAGAGAAGTGTACTCAGGGTGGGAGAGGATGGGGGAATTGTATACCAATGAAGGAATATTTTTTTTTCTTTTTCTTTTTGGAGAGGGGAGCGAACTGGTGGGGAGGGGTGGGCAGGGAGAAAAGTGCGGCAATGAATGAATGGAAATCCGAAATCTCTGTAAATGTTTATTAAAATTAATAAAAGAACAACAAAAAAGTAGTAAATTCTGTTTTAAAATCATCAAGCTCACACACACACACACACACACACACACACATATCTCACATAGGTGTATACACACAGAGAAATATACCAAAATTCTAATAGCATTTGCCTCTGGATGCTAAGATTATAGATTTCTTGAATTTTTTGAATTAATTTTAAAAAATAAGTGTGAATTATATTTTTACAAAGGTAAATAGCAGTTATCATGTAAAATCACATGATGCATATGCCATGATTTACATTATAAATTGATGACACAAAAGATTGTATGATCTCCTCCATAATGGGGATAAAAATGTTGTTTTAAAATATAAATCAATATTCAATTTCTTTGTCTTGACATTGTTTTTAAGGGTGAAGTTGGGCAGCAAGGTTCTCCAGGACCAACCCTGTTGGTAGAACCACCTGATTCAAGTCTGTTAAAAGGAGAAAAGGTAATCCCCAAACCCGTGCCTCGTCTGGGTAAAGGAATAGCTGTGACCATTCTCTGAACACAGTCTCTGTGCCAGGAAACCCCAGAACACCTTCCCTGCATGTTAACCCCACGAGAATCGTAATAGATGACCACTACTGTTACCCATTGTGCCCACCAAATCCAAACCAAAGCCATTCCCATGGACTTAGGTCCAACCTCTGTTGGGTTTTGAGGCTGTCTGTCTTAGGAAGAGGTGACTGTCCAACTTCCTCCCGCAGAACCATCAGTGAAATCAAACTACTGAATTTTTGGCTGACAGCCCAAAATTTAATACACTGTGCTACCAGAGAAGAGCTTTGGAAAGGTTAAGAATGTTCTCAAATTTTCTCACCTGTTCTTTAGCCGCACAGAGGGTGTGAAATTGTGACATGCTGGATACAAAGTCACTGCACTCATGTTGTCCTTGATACATGGGCCGAGAAGATCCCTGGAAACTCAGTGGGCTTCATACTCACTGAGATGGTAAAATAGTGCATAGAGCTAGGTCCATAAAGACTCTTGGAAAATATGAATTCTTCCACCAGCCTCTAGCTCTGATGTGGGTAATGCCACTGGAAAACTCTTTTTTCCACATTTTGGTTACTCAGTTAAATTTCTCTCTCTCTCTCTCT